GGTTCCTAACCATGAAATCCTGGGTGGCCAGCTCTAAATATAAGCTTAATATATGAAAATAGTAAGTTAAATTTCCAGTCGCCCAAAGGCAAAAGTTAGTTGCCTGTGGCACCCAGGCACCTCTAGAATACAACACTGCAGTGACTTCAAAGCATCTTTAGTTAATGCTTCATGCATTATATGATAAGCAGCATTTCCCGCCAAAAATACAGGTTGTTCCTCTTTTTCAAATTATGCCCCTAATTTAGGTTTCAAATTCTGAGCCCACTGGGAGATTCATGGGCTGGGTTCTGAAAGATTAAGATTACCAGTATCTTTTACAATTCTTTTTTACAAATATTAAGGTCACATGACTAGAACCTTGCTCTGATAAGCTTTAGTTACCACCCCCCCCCCCCCCCCCAAAAAAAAACAAACAACAGAAAAATGTGAAGGTGAATTAATCAACATGACACAAGCGTGGGACAAAGAAAAATTCTGAGTCCCTGACAGGAAATAATGACAGGCCTTATCACATCTGTCAGCCTATTAGAAATGGGAAATGAATTTTATTAATCATTCCTCTGACTAATAATTCAGTAAGTTTCTTATAACTCTTGGAGAAAGCCAGAACCACAATTAAAGGGGCGCATGGAAAAAGACCCTAAGTGACATCTGATAGACTGCAAGATTCTCCTAGCAAATTGCTTTTCACTTCCTTGTACAGAAAAGGAGAATTTAACTTGAGATCAAGAGTCTCTTAGGGCTTTTTTCCACGCACCTCTTCAATTGGAATCCTTAAGGGATCCTTCATTTCGAACAAATTTGTAAATCAAACACAAACCGATGACAACAAGAAGTCATATATAGGGTTAGGGTTAGGGATATTATAGATTTGATAATCAGGTGCACATTCCTTTGTTTGAGGAGAAGAACAGGGATCAAGTGTTGCTTGCATGTGCAACAAGCTCCAGAGTCCCTAAAGCTGGCAAACATCTAAGACTCGACAGAAGTAATCTTATTACAGGTTTTTTTTTTGGTAGGGGAAAGGAGTTGGCTGTTATAAAGAAATAATTATGAGGGCTAGGAGGGTAGGACATTTTAGAATTCCAAATGTGTGGAGATCAAGCATTCTCGAATAATTTTCTGATAAAATAATTATTGATGCCAACTGTGGTACCGCAGGGTATGTATTATTAGTATCAAACATGAAAGACCGTGTTTGACCACATTGAACACCAAGAAGAGAATTGAAAATAAGACACACAGCGGAGTATTTTTGACGCAGTTCAAGGTGTTTGGAAATGTGGTCAAACACCATCTGGAGTGTTTGATATATTTTCTAAATTTAAACTTTAGTACTCTTAAGAGAAACCAGAGAAATTAAATCATAAAAATCTATGGTCATGAATTCCTTTGTTTAAACTCGATGAATTATTTTTATTAATTAATGAGTTTGAGAAAGATATTTTCTGGAATAACCCATTTCACAACCAAATTCTTGCATTCCTTACCAGTATTCTGTTTTTGTGCACCCCTGATGTGATGTATGCTGCATGAGGCCCAGTCCAGCCCCACCAACAAAGACAGCGTCCATTACTCTGACATGATCCCTGGCCTCCTGTGCATTTGGGGTCACATGGAGCAGCTGGTTGTTAAAAATTCAAATATAAAAAAAAAATTGCTAAGTGTATATAGCATCAAGTTTCTTGCTGATTACTTCTGTGATAGATAATTAAGCATAACATTACTCTCATTAACAGTGCCCGTCAGACAAGGTAATGTTTACTCATCTGACAAAAACAAATAAACACCATGGCTGAAAATAATAAGAATTTATTTCAAAGTATTCTTGACTGTTGAAATACAGTGGAACCCTGCCTTGTGATCACCTCGTTAGTACAGTCACCTCATTATTAATTACAGCCAGTCTTTTTTGTCTCGGCAAAGTGCCCACACAATTTTTTATAAGAAAACCCTGTTAATCTGGCCACCCTGTTAATATGGCCAAAGTACAGCCACATTCTGTAAACTGGCCAACCCATATAGTTGTCCATAATAATATTTTACCCCATTAAGATGGCCACTCGAACCAATCATGTTCATCCTTCCATTAATTAATGACCTTTTTTAAAATAATACCTGCATTTTGAATGCTTATCAAAGAACGGTTGTTTAGAAGTGCAATTGTGATGTACTCTGTCAAGATGTCACTTAAAATAGGCAAGTCATGAAATTTGATCCTGCTCCATTAATATGGTCACCCTGTTAATACGGTCAAATTTTCATGGCCCATTGGTGAACATATTAACGGGGTTCCACTATAAAATAGATCTTTAGTTTTATATCCTTGTTGGGTCAAAGTATCCCATCTTGTGAGGGTAATTATCTTGGTTTCCATAGCATTAAGCTACTAAGTCAATAATTAATTATTTATTATTATCATTCATGCTGTAATAACACAGATTTAGAAAACTACATGTATGTGCTAAAACTCCTGCTCAGTAGTGTTGTACTCTCAGTCTGTCAGCATTCTGAAAAGCTTTTATAGAATAAATTAATAAAAGCTCTTTGTACATAGACTAAATCACAGTGGAGTGTGATTAAATCGTTAGTTGTACTTTGTTCAAGTTACTTCTATCATACACCATCCTAGCAATCAATAATACCTGTGCCTGTTGATATAAACTGGAGGATCAGAATTACTGCACAAGTCAACACAACCTTGTTCAACATGGCTGGTCAGGTTTGCCCTCAAAACAACTTCTGAAAATAATCAAGTCAAATATATAAGCCAATATTTGACGTATATATTTCATGGTAACAATTTACACTGTAATTATATATGTTACTCTTGCTCAGGTGGCCACTGTTTTCACCTACTTTGATGTCAACTTAGGGCCGGGTCGCACCAGAGCAAATTTTGTTTGTATATTAAGTAATGAAACCTGTCAACTAACTAACTGTCCCCTTCGTGCCACATTACATATAGGGCAATACGTCAACGTGAAGAACAAAATAAGTGCAATCCCCAGTTTCAAAATCTTGCCAAGTTTTTGTGGATAAATTTGCCAAAATGTCGCCAATCTTCAAAGAAGCCAAAGTGTTGCCTTGGGGGCTTTCAAATTTTGGCAAAACAAACAATTTTGTTTTGGTTTTTTCCTAAAACTATTTAATTGTCACAATATGCAAAACATGTCTCAAAGTCTAGATTAAAATTTTGATGGTTTAGTACCTTGGTCTGCTTCTTTAGTTTGGTGCTTGTGATGGTGGGCCAAAATAATTTTTTTTGTTAACCCTGTCCATCTGAACCTTTCTACAGTTATTTCAATGGAAAAGAGGAATACGAGATATGGGATTTCAAGTCTGAACTAATGACCTCAAAGAGACAAGTCTCCTTCAATTACAAGTACAGGTACGGAAACAAGGCAATCTCCTTTGATAATTTGCAAACATCGAAGTCAGCGTGAGTACTGTAAGCAGCAGCCCTCCAAAATGAAAAAGAAAAGAATCAAAAAAGAAAAGAAGGCGAAATAACCATTCTTGCATAATTTGCACCCTATATGTTTTGTTGTCTCTTGTGAAGAACTCTTTCAGATAGGTTTGTGACTAAGGTATATGTCAATCAGAAAAGTTTGGGTTAAAACATGTTGGCTTGAGGTGATGGCAAAATTTCGAACTTACGAAATTTTTGCAAATATTTTTCCTAACCAAAAATTGGAAATATGTGAATTCGCTCTAGTGCAGTTGAACTGGCCCCGTTTACCTGAGCCAATATTTGGGAAAATAAGCCTGTGCTAGACCTCTCTGGGCTCAATTAGGAACACAGGAGGGGGGAAGAGGGGGTTGACCAGCCTAGAGACTGGTAGAATATCAAGCCTAAACTAAAGCAGCTTTACTATAATTATAACAACCTCAGTTTCACAGTTATAACAGCATGATTGCGTTTTAAGCGCACTTTCAGTCCTTTAGCAGTGGAAGTAAATGCATTGAAGGCATATGACAGAACTCCTTTAAATTTGACTATTATAGCATGATCGTAGCAAGACAAGCCTTAGCATGTCGCAATTTTGTGACGCGACAATTCATCCGTCGTGCTAGTCGAAGAAAATCGAGATGACAGCATAACCTTTGAACTGGGCTTTGTGAGCGAATATGCCTGCAGCTGCAATCACAATATAAACTACCCTTGGTATAAGCTACCAGCATTTGTGTCCCAGAGTGAGTGTTGGAGATACCTTAGCTTAGATTATCGCAAATAACTGCAAAAATAACAAATGACGGCTTACAAATTCCACTACGACTTGATATGAGATCATATTTTAATTATTTTATAAGCTTTTAATTCCCCTGATATTGTTCGATCGTGTGCACGGAATAAACGATCATTACAATCTATGACTTGTAAAGTTGCTTTGAAGATCGCAAATATCTCTTGCTTCAACAATCACCTAAGCTCATAACAAGATGCTTGTTAATTCGAATGAATCACACAGTCCGAAGAAATTCGTGTTGGAGTTTCCGGTCTTATCAGTGCAATCTCCCTCCCAATTTCTAGTACGATATGTCCTTGTTTATAGGTATTTCAAACCAAAACTGTAGTAATTTACCCCTCTATTCTGATCTTCGACAAGTTATGTATCTTGCAAGCTGATACAATTCTCTTGCGAGAAAACATCTTTGAGCTTAACTCTGTTCTCTTAAACTACGACAATCTATCCCGGGAAGCATGCTCGAGAAGTATAAATCATAAAATTATGAAGCAATTGTTGGGTATGGAGTAAATGTTGCGAAAAAGAAACTATTAAAAAGAGAAACTAGAAGTTCGCAAAATGAGTCTGCTTACCTCTAAAGAAGAGAGACAGATCTTTGTCGTTGAGGAAAAAGACTTTAATCCCAGCTCTGAGACATCACAAGACTCACTTACAGTAGTTTACACAGAACGTAACTCGAGACGCTGGAAGTAACGCAAGTTTTTATTGGCCATAGTAGACTCGTTCCCAGGTTTAAAGGAGCTTAGACATGCGTTCGATGGTAGAAGAGTGCGCATTGGTCAGAAGAACTAATACCTAAATTTAACGAAGTTTTCAATGTCTCTGAAAAGAAAACCCTCTGAAAATGGTATATTTCTTCGAGAAACGCAGCCAGAAATAAGTCTGCGTTCGCAGGCTAACCTTGGGGCGCCTGACGAGCCAGGAGACAACGCGAAAATTTTGAACTTTCAGTTCGTACGGACACTTGATTTACTTCTAAAGGTTTGTTAGTACCCCACTAAGGATGCCAATTGTTTTCTTCTTAACATTGTACAAATTCAGGAGAAAATTGAGGTATAATGTTCGCCGTAAGATTAAAATTTTTCCACCTGTCCCTCCAAAGAATAATTTTAAAGAACGAGAAATAGACAGTGTTTTCGACTTCTGGTTGGGGGCTAAACGACCAGACACCTTCAGGAACAGCTTACGCCGAGACTTTCTAGCCATGTCTGTACCCCACAAGGTTTGCCCAGAGATTTTTCTAAGTAGTGAAGTGGCACTTATCTTTTCGAGAGAAGTAGCTGTTCATGGTTGTTGTTCCCTTTTCACAGTTGCTATGGAGGCCTGATACTCTTACTGATAAGCGTATAACGCAATTCGTCTAAGGCGTACATTTTCTGGTCAAACGCTTAAAGAACATGCCGAAGGCACAGTCATACTGGATTTTTATAAATGGGCATATTTTAAGCTGTCAGACGAAGCTACGCGCTACTTGCTTGTTTCGAGCTCTAAACACTTCATAACACATTTCATCCAAAAGTAACGTATACTGTACGAATCTTTACATGTAGCGCTCATACTGCCCTAATACTCTCTATTCGTACCATAGGCAGGATGGAGAGATTGTACTCGGGAGGGCGTCTTAGCGAATGAGGCTTGGAGATGGGGGCGGGGGGCGGGGGCTCATTTTTTCTGGGTGGTAGGGGGATTATCGAAATGGTTTTCAACTTTCATAAGAGAACTTTAATAGCGTTATACAGATACATAGTTTTTTTTAACATAAAGAACAGTATTTGAAGACTAGCAAGACTTGACATCCTAGCATTCCAGGTGCCTGTCCTGTCTCCTCTTGGGAGTAAAAACATGGAAATATTTTCCTTCAATAACAGACACAAATGGCTACCAACGGAAAATTGACTACTTGAGTCATTTTTAGCTATTTACAGACGAATGGATAAATGTACGTTGCAGTCGTGTTATAAGTCATATATCAACGTTATATTCTCAGGCCGACCCTGGTCGCATGCTCTTGGGTCTCCATATTCCAACACTGAGATCACTGGAACATGAGGCTAACACAGAGCCTCTGCTGCTAACCTGGAGAAACAAAGAAAGTTTTTCCTTTCAGCCCCATGCTCAAAATACAGATTCTCTTTACTAATTATCATACATTCCTTTTAACATAGGTTTTGAGAGTTTGGTGGTACATCAGGACTATATTTTCTATTTGATGATTTACTTGTTCTCATCCCTTTACTTTTACAGTGTAATGATATTAGTCACTGATCATTTTGGAAAAAAAATCAAAAATTTGCAACACAATTAAATGACAAACAGTTACTGGTCCCTAATGAGGTGAAATGACCAGTTTCTATCATCTTTTTGAGAAAATCGAATTAAATTAATGTATCCAGAAAATGTTTATAATAGACCTTTTTAGCAATACAGCAGCTTTTCTGAATCCATTGTTTCAGATAGCTATTATGGGATGCTCAGGGGCAAATTAGTATGTATTTGCCCCCTGAGCATTGAATAATAGCTATGCGAAAAAATGGAATTCAAAATAGCTGTAGTATTGGTAAAAAGGTCTATTGCATACATGATGCAGATTGTTATTATTGGTCAAAAAGCATTTCATTTGTTGCTATGTTCACAATGAAGTTTTTACTGACCGATGCTACTTCTCCGGAATGACAATCAAATGAATGCATAACGGATAAAACACAAGAAGGTTCCAGAACCTGTTGAGATGGATTACATTGTCAAATATCAGTTACAGGAAAAAACAATATGGAGAGCATAACTGAACAAACTAAGATAAAAGGTTACCTGTCTTACCCATAGAATTATCTAACTAACCCAATAGCTTTAGCTGCCAAGAACCATTATGCACAGGAACCTACTCATCTTCCTTCATACCTGTCTGTCATGGAAGCCTAAGACACCTACATGTACTGCTTAGAACTGCAGCAAACACCTGCATATAAGTTCTAGTTCTTATTTATCGGGTGATTAGTGAGAAATCAGCCTGAAGATGTTCTTAATATGTTCTTAAACTTTGTTTCATAAATACTGCACATAACATGTTATTAGAGGTTTAGTTAGCATCTTTTATTATAAATAAATAAGTACGTAAACAAATCAGTAAATAAATAAATNATAACTCTTGGAGAAAGCCAGAACCACAATTAAAGGGGCGCATGGAAAAAGACCCTAAGTGACATCTGATAGACTGCAAGATTCTCCTAGCAAATTGCTTTTCACTTCCTTGTACAGAAAAGGAGAATTTAACTTGAGATCAAGAGTCTCTTAGGGCTTTTTTCCACGCACCTCTTCAATTGGAATCCTTAAGGGATCCTTCATTTCGAACAAATTTGTAAATCAAACACAAACCGATGACAACAAGAAGTCATATATCGGGTTAGGGTTAGGGATATTATAGATTTGATAATCAGGTGCACATTCCTTTGTTTGAGGAGAAGAACAGGGATCAAGTGTTGCTTGCATGTGCAACAAGCTTCAGAGTCCCTAAAGCTGGCAAACATCTAAGACTTGACAGAAGTAATCTTACTACAGGTTTTTGTTTTGGTAGGGGAAAGGAGTTGGCTGTTATAAAGAAATAATTATGAGGGCTAGGAGGGTAGGACATTTTAGAATTCCAAATGTGTGGAGATCAAGCATTCTCGAATAATTTTCTGATAAAATAATTATTGATGCCAACTGTGGTACCGCAGGGTATGTATTATTAGTATCAAACATGAAAGACCGTGTTTGACCACATTGAACACCAAGAAGAGAATTGAAAATAAGACACACAGCGGAGTATTTTTGACGCAGTTCAAGGTGTTTGGAAATGTGGTCAAACACCATCTGGAGTGTTTGATATATTTTCTAAATTTAAACTTTAGTACTCTTAAGAGAAACCAGAGAAATTAAATCATAAAAATCTATGGTCATGAATTCCTTTGTTTAAACTCGATGAATTATTTTTATTAATTAATGAGTTTGAGAAAGATATTTTCTGGAATAACCCATTTCACAACCAAATTCTTGCATTCCTTACCAGTATTCTGTTTTTGCGCACCCCTGATGTGATGTATGCTGCATGAGGCCCAGTCCAGCCCCACCAACAAAGACAGCGTCCATTACTCTGACATGATCCCTGGCCTCCTGTGCATTTGGGGTCACATGGAGCAGCTGGTTGTTAAAAATTCAAATATAAAAAAAAAATTGCTAAGTGTATATAGCATCAAGTTTCTTGCTGATTACTTCTGTGATAGATAATTAAGCATAACATTACTCTCATTAACAGTGCCCGTCAGACAAGGTAATGTTTACTCATCTGACAAAAACAAATAAACACCATGGCTGAAAATAATAAGAATTTATTTCAAAGTATTCTTGACTGTTGAAATACAGTGGAACCCTGCCTTGTGATCACCTCGTTAGTACAGTCACCTCATTATTAATTACAGCCAGTCTTTTTTGTCTCGGCAAAGTGCCCACACAATTTTTTATAAGAAAACCCTGTTAATCTGGCCACCCTGTTAATATGGCCAAAGTACAGCCACATTCTGTAAACTGGCCAACCCATATAGTTGTCCATAATAATATTTTACCCCATTAAGATGGCCACTCGAACCAATCATGTTCATCCTTCCATTAATTAATGACCTTTTTTAAAATAATACCTGCATTTTGAATGCTTATCAAAGAACGGTTGTTTAGAAGTGCAATTGTGATGTACTCTGTCAAGATGTCACTTAAAATAGGCAAGTCATGAAATTTGATCCTGCTCCATTAATATGGTCACCCTGTTAATACGGTCAAATTTTCATGGCCCATTGGTGAACATATTAACGGGGTTCCACTATAAAATAGATCTTTAGTTTTATATCCTTGTTGGGTCAAAGTATCCCATCTTGTGAGGGTAATTATCTTGGTTTCCATAGCATTAAGCTACTAAGTCAATAATTAATTATTTATTATTATCATTCATGCTGTAATAACACAGATTTAGAAAACTACATGTATGTGCTAAAACTCCTGCTCAGTAGTGTTGTACTCTCAGTCTGTCAGCATTCTGAAAAGCTTTTATAGAATAAATTAATAAAAGCTCTTTGTACATAGACTAAATCACAGTGGAGTGTGATTAAATCGTTAGTTGTACTTTGTTCAAGTTACTTCTATCATACACCATCCTAGCAATCAATAATACCTGTGCCTGTTGATATAAACTGGAGGATCAGAATTACTGCACAAGTCAACACAACCTTGTTCAACATGGCTGGTCAGGTTTGCCCTCAAAACAACTTCTGAAAATAATCAAGTCAAATATATAAGCCAATATTTGACGTATATATTTCATGGTAACAATTTACACTGTAATTATATATGTTACTCTTGCTCAGGTGGCCACTGTTTTCACCTACTTTGATGTCAACTTAGGGCCGGGTCGCACCAGAGCAAATTTTGTTTGTATATTAAGTAATGAAACCTGTCAACTAACTAACTGTCCCCTTCGTGCCACATTACATATAGGGCAATACGTCAACGTGAAGAACAAAATAAGTGCAATCCCCAGTTTCAAAATCTTGCCAAGTTTTTGTGGATAAATTTGCCAAAATGTCGCCAATCTTCAAAGAAGCCAAAGTGTTGCCTTGGGGGCTTTCAAATTTTGGCAAAACAAACAATTTTGTTTTGGTTTTTTCCTAAAACTATTTAATTGTCACAATATGCAAAACATGTCTCAAAGTCTAGATTAAAATTTTGATGGTTTAGTACCTTGGTCTGCTTCTTTAGTTTGGTGCTTGTGATGGTGGGCCAAAATAATTTTTTTTGTTAACCCTGTCCATCTGAACCTTTCTACAGTTATTTCAATGGAAAAGAGGAATACGAGATATGGGATTTCAAGTCTGAACTAATGACCTCAAAGAGACAAGTCTCCTTCAATTACAAGTACAGGTACGGAAACAAGGCAATCTCCTTTGATAATTTGCAAACATCGAAGTCAGCGTGAGTACTGTAAGCAGCAGCCCTCCAAAATGAAAAAGAAAAGAATCAAAAAAGAAAAGAAGGCGAAATAACCATTCTTGCATAATTTGCACCCTATATGTTTTGTTGTCTCTTGTGAAGAACTCTTTCAGATAGGTTTGTGACTAAGGTATATGTCAATCAGAAAAGTTTGGGTTAAAACATGTTGGCTTGAGGTGATGGCAAAATTTCGAACTTACGAAATTTTTGCAAATATTTTTCCTAACCAAAAATTGGAAATATGTGAATTCGCTCTAGTGCAGTTGAACTGGCCCTGTTTACCTGAGCCAATATTTGGGAAAATAAGCCTGTGCTAGACCTCTCTGGGCTCAATTAGGAACACAGGAGGGGGGAAGAGGGGGTTGACCAGCCTAGAGACTGGTAGAATATCAAGCCTAAACTAAAGCAGCTTTACTATAATTATAACAACCTCAGTTTCACAGTTATAACAGCATGATTGCGTTTTAAGCGCACTTTCAGTCCTTTAGCAGTGGAAGTAAATGCATTGAAGGCATATGACAGAACTCCTTTAAATTTGACTATTATAGCATGATCGTAGCAAGACAAGCCTTAGCATGTCGCAATTTTGTGACGCGACAATTCATCCGTCGTGCTAGTCGAAGAAAATCGAGATGACAGCATAACCTTTGAACTGGGCTTTGTGAGCGAATATGCCTGCAGCTGCAATCACAATATAAACTACCCTTGGTATAAGCTACCAGCATTTGTGTCCCAGAGTGAGTGTTGGAGATACCTTAGCTTAGATTATCGCAAATAACTGCAAAAATAACAAATGACGGCTTACAAATTCCACTACGACTTGATATGAGATCATATTTTAATTATTTTATAAGCTTTTAATTCCCCTGATATTGTTCGATCGTGTGCACGGAATAAACGATCATTACAATCTATGACTTGTAAAGTTGCTTTGAAGATCGCAAATATCTCTTGCTTCAACAATCACCTAAGCTCATAACAAGATGCTTGTTAATTCGAATGAATCACACAGTCCGAAGAAATTCGTGTTGGAGTTTCCGGTCTTATCAGTGCAATCTCCCTCCCAATTTCTAGTACGATATGTCCTTGTTTATAGGTATTTCAAACCAAAACTGTAGTAATTTACCCCTCTATTCTGATCTTCGACAAGTTATGTATCTTGCAAGCTGATACAATTCTCTTGCGAGAAAACATCTTTGAGCTTAACTCTGTTCTCTTAAACTACGACAATCTATCCCGGGAAGCATGCTCGAGAAGTATAAATCATAAAATTATGAAGCAATTGTTGGGTATGGAGTAAATGTTGCGAAAAAGAAACTATTAAAAAGAGAAACTAGAAGTTCGCAAAATGAGTCTGCTTACCTCTAAAGAAGAGAGACAGATCTTTGTCGTTGAGGAAAAAGACTTTAATCCCAGCTCTGAGACATCACAAGACTCACTTACAGTAGTTTACACAGAACGTAACTCGAGACGCTGGAAGTAACGCAAGTTTTTATTGGCCATAGTAGACTCGTTCCCAGGTTTAAAGGAGCTTAGACATGCGTTCGATGGTAGAAGAGTGCGCATTGGTCAGAAGAACTAATACCTAAATTTAACGAAGTTTTCAATGTCTCTGAAAAGAAAACCCTCTGAAAATGGTATATTTCTTCGAGAAACGCAGCCAGAAATAAGTCTGCGTTCGCAGGCTAACCTTGGGGCGCCTGACGAGCCAGGAGACAACGCGAAAATTTTGAACTTTCAGTTCGTACGGACACTTGATTTACTTCTAAAGGTTTGTTAGTACCCCACTAAGGATGCCAATTGTTTTCTTCTTAACATTGTACAAATTCAGGAGAAAATTGAGGTATAATGTTCGCCGTAAGATTAAAATTTTTCCACCTGTCCCTCCAAAGAATAATTTTAAAGAACGAGAAATAGACAGTGTTTTCGACTTCTGGTTGGGGGCTAAACGACCAGACACCTTCAGGAACAGCTTACGCCGAGACTTTCTAGCCATGTCTGTACCCCACAAGGTTTGCCCAGAGATTTTTCTAAGTAGTGAAGTGGCACTTATCTTTTCGAGAGAAGTAGCTGTTCATGGTTGTTGTTCCCTTTTCACAGTTGCTATGGAGGCCTGATACTCTTACTGATAAGCGTATAACGCAATTCGTCTAAGGCGTACATTTTCTGGTCAAACGCTTAAAGAACATGCCGAAGGCACAGTCATACTGGATTTTTATAAATGGGCATATTTTAAGCTGTCAGACGAAGCTACGCGCTACTTGCTTGTTTCGAGCTCTAAACACTTCATAACACATTTCATCCAAAAGTAACGTATACTGTACGAATCTTTACATGTAGCGCTCATACTGCCCTAATACTCTCTATTCGTACCATAGGCAGGATGGAGAGATTGTACTCGGGAGGGCGTCTTAGCGAATGAGGCTTGGAGATGGGGGCGGGGGGCGGGGGCTCATTTTTTCTGGGTGGTAGGGGGATTATCGAAATGGTTTTCAACTTTCATAAGAGAACTTTAATAGCGTTATACAGATACATAGTTTTTTTTAACATAAAGAACAGTATTTGAAGACTAGCAAGACTTGACATCCTAGCATTCCAGGTGCCTGTCCTGTCTCCTCTTGGGAGTAAAAACATGGAAATATTTTCCTTCAATAACAGACACAAATGGCTACCAACGGAAAATTGACTACTTGAGTCATTTTTAGCTATTTACAGACGAATGGATAAATGTACGTTGCAGTCGTGTTATAAGTCATATATCAACGTTATATTCTCAGGCCGACCCTGGTCGCATGCTCTTGGGTCTCCATATTCCAACACTGAGATCACTGGAACATGAGGCTAACACAGAGCCTCTGCTGCTAACCTGGAGAAACAAAGAAAGTTTTTCCTTTCAGCCCCATGCTCAAAATACAGATTCTCTTTACTAATTATCATACATTCCTTTTAACATAGGTTTTGAGAGTTTGGTGGTACATCAGGACTATATTTTCTATTTGATGATTTACTTGTTCTCATCCCTTTACTTTTACAGTGTAATGATATTAGTCACTGATCATTTTGGAAAAAAAATCAAAAATTTGCAACACAATTAAATGACAAACAGTTACTGGTCCCTAATGAGGTGAAATGACCAGTTTCTATCATCTTTTTGAGAAAATCGAATTAAATTAATGTATCCAGAAAATGTTTATAATAGACCTTTTTAGCAATACAGCAGCTTTTCTGAATCCATTGTTTCAGATAGCTATTATGGGATGCTCAGGGGCAAATTAGTATGTATTTGCCCCCTGAGCATTGAATAATAGCTATGCGAAAAAATGGAATTCAAAATAGCTGTAGTATTGGTAAAAAGGTCTATTGCATACATGATGCAGATTGTTATTATTGGTCAAAAAGCATTTCATTTGTTGCTATGTTCACAATGAAGTTTTTACTGACCGATGCTACTTCTCCGGAATGACAATCAAATGAATGCATAACGGATAAAACACAAGAAGGTTCCAGAACCTGTTGAGATGGATTACATTGTCAAATATCAGTTACAGGAAAAAACAATATGGAGAGCATAACTGAACAAACTAAGATAAAAGGTTACCTGTCTTACCCATAGAATTATCTAACTAACCCAATAGCTTTAGCTGCCAAGAACCATTATGCACAGGAACCTACTCATCTTCCTTCATACCTGTCTGTCATTGAAGCCTAAGACACCTACATGTACTGCTTAGAACTGCAGCAAACACCTGCATATAAGTTCTAGTTCTTATTTATCGGGTGATTAGTGAGAAATCAGCCTGAAGATGTTCTTAATATGTTCTTAAACTTTGTTTCATAAATACTGCACATAACATGTTATTAGAGGTTTAGTTAGCATCTTTTATTATAAATAAATAAGTACGTAAACAAATCAGTAAATAAATAAATAAAATAAAAATCTGTCAGGTAGTAAACTAGTTAACATTAACGAGTAGAAATGTAACATTAGTTTCAACACTTTTTCTTATTCCAACACCCTCCTCCTTATTATGTAAGAACATGTTTTATTTATCAGACTGAACTGGATCTTATATATATGGTGCTTTATTGGCCAAATTTCAGCCTGATGTTCTTAATCCATTTGTTCTTATATGCGTGTGTTTATTGTACCTGCCTACTAGCCTGCAGAAGAAGCAGTTTAGCAGGGGAGAGCAGAATGTACGATACATGGGCACACAGTGCAAGCCTCTCACTCAGGCTACAAGCTTACCCTTGCTCTTTGTGCTTGTGTATTGCGCTTCCAATTTGCCCTCCTAAACTACCTGTTCTGCAGCCTACCTGCCTGCCTCCTCAAAGCTTGCAGTTTTCCTTGAGCTTTGCTTCCCAAACTGTTCACTCATGGAACAGATCAGAAAGTGTTCAGACAAATACTTAGACTGCAAATTTTCATGCCATATAATTATGAACACCCATAAAAACAGAAGCGACATTTCTTGATACATACTTTAATAGATTTGTCAGTTGAGCAGACAACAACTGCTCCCCCATAATGACACATTCCAGAGATTTTTCCTTTAGATTCCAGGTCAATGCTAGGCTGAGAAAGAAAAATTAGGTGGGATGCAATCAGCTTGTTAGAGCACTACTCTATATATA